CCGTTTGCTGCTGCTGTTGCTGCTGCTGCAGCAACAACAGCAGCAGAAGAAGAAGCTTTCTCCGTGCTGCATGCAGACCTCCTCGATCTGAAGTTTCACTGGTGGCGTTCTGTTGCTGCTGCGTGGCAGCAGCAGCAGCTCCCGCTGCTGCAGCAGCAGTTAGCTCTGATGCAGCAGCACCAGCACCAGCAGCAGCAGCAGCAACAGCAGCAGCAGCAGCAGCAGCAAGCATATAAAGCCTGGGTTAGCTGCCTCACCGCATCTACTGCTTCCTTCATGCCAGCTGCTCGTGATCTGCTGCCAGCAGCAGCAGCAGCAGCAGCAGCAGCAGCAACAGGAGACCCCACGCAACAGCAGCAGCAGCAGCAGCAGCAGCAGCAGCAGCAGACAGGAAGAACAGCTCTGTGGCAGTGGCTGTGGGGCGCCGGCGAAGCATTTGGTTTTTGCTGCAGCAGCAGATTTGCTGCGCTGCAGCTGCTGGACGCCTACGCAGCACACCCTGCTTTCCCCTTCAGGTGTACATGCAGCAGCAGCAGCAGCAGCAGCAGCAGCAGCAGCAGCGGCGGCGATGAGTGTAAGTGCTGCAGCAACAGAGAGCTTGCGCTGTGCTCGACTGCTGCTTTGCTGCTGTCTGCTGCGCTGCGGTGTCACTGGCAAGACATTGCTGCTGACCAGTTCCTGCAGCAGCTGCTGCTGCAGCTGCAGCAGCAGCAGCAGCAGCAGCAGCAGCAGCAGCAGCAGCAGTTTTTTACTGTTGATGATGTTATTATGGTTCAGGCAGATATGCTGCAGCTGCTGCAGCCGTCGCTGTGGATGGCGCTAACTGCTGCTGACTGCATTTTGCTGCTGCTTGCTGCTATACGAGGGTTCCCGCTGCTGCTGCAGCACACGCCTCAGGCCCACGCCACTGCTGCTGCTGCTGCTGCTGCTGCTGCTGCTGCTCCTGCTGCAGCAGGGGCTGCTGGAGCAACGCCACCAAGCCTTGCATGCCGCTTCACGCTGCAGCAAGACCAGCAGCAGCAGCAGCAGCAGCAGCAGCAGCAGCAATTCCGTATATCAGCCCACAGCAGCAGCAGCAGCAACAGCAGCAGCAGCAGCAGCAGCAGCAGCAGCAGCCGTTGGGTGTTGTTGTCTCTATTTGACTATTTTGTTAGTACTGGT